CAAAAACTCCCTACACAACCCGTAGGGATGGGCACCATCACACCCACAAAACCTCCCTACACAACCCGTAGGGATGGGCATCATCACACCCACAAAACCTCCCTACACAACCCGTAGGGATGGGCATCATCACACCCACAAAACCTCCCTACACAACCCGTAGGGATGGGCATCATCACACCCACAAAACCTCCCTACACAACCCGTAGGGATGGGCATCATCACACCCACAAAACCTCCCTACACAACCCGTAGGGATGGGCATCATCACACCCACAAAACCTCCCTACACAACCCGTAGGGATGGGCATCATCACACCCACAAAACCTCCCTACACAACCCGTAGGGATGGGCATCATCACACCCACAAAACCTCCCTACACAACCCGTAGGGATGGGCATCATCACACCCACAAAACCTCCCTACACAACCCGTAGGGATGGGCATCATCACACCCACAAAACCTCCCTACACAACCCGTAGGGATGGGCATCATCACACCCACAAAACCTCCCTACACAACCCGTAGGGATGGGCATCATCACACCCACAAAACCTCCCTACACAACCCGTAGGGATGGGCATCATCACACCCACAAAACCTCCCTACACAACCCGTAGGGATGGGCATCATCACACCCACAAAACCTCCCTACACAACCCGTAGGGATGGGCATCATCACACCCACAAAACCTCCCTACACAACCCGTAGGGATGGGCATCATCACACCCACAAAACCTCCCTACACAACCCGTAGGGATGGGCATCATCACACCCACAAAACCTCCCTACACAACCCGTAGGGATGGGCATCATCACACCCACAAAACCTCCCTACACAACCCGTAGGGATGGGCATCATCACACCCACAAAAACTCCCTACACAACCCGTAGGGATGGGCACCATCACACCCACAAAACCTCCCTACACAACCCGTAGGGATAGGAACCTGTGACAAAATAAACATAATACAAAAATAGTGACCCAAGCAAACCGAAGTGATGAACCAAGAGGGGCCCATCCTATCGAATTGCTCAAAAAACCTGTTACACGAGACACCAAAATACACATGAAACCTCCTACACAACCCGTAGGAGTAGGCAAACTGCAAACTACAAACTATGTACAAATAAAAATAAGAAGAAAGACCACTGATTAGCTCCCACTTGTAGCATAGCAAGGCGCTTGAAGCAGCCATCACCATGGTACATACACACCCTGCCAATTGCCACCTAAATCTGAACAGCAAACAGCCACCACTCCTCCACAGCAAGAGAGAAATATGCTGCTAACAGCCTCAGGTAACTACGGAATAAGGAGTTACCACACCACCAAACCACGACATAAACCACACCCAGCCATGGATAGAGATTACCACCTCCGAAATGAAGGTCATAAAGCAGCAGAAATAACAAACACACTGTATAAGACCTCCCCACACTCGGCCCACAGTAAAAAACATTCTTACACTCCATATAGAACCTCACATCACCTGGCCCACACCTCACCAGATTTCTCGATAGAACAAGACAGGTAGTATACTTGAAAGCTCCATAAACCTGCATAAAACATATATAATATATAATAAATGTTAGAGCAAAACATGTATACTGTCTCTCTTCACTCAACCCACAGTGGCATAGAATACTTTGCTTGCTCACATCACTCAACCCTCCAATCAGCCACTTCAATGATATAGGATTCATCATAACCTGATAAGAGAGGAAAGAACCTACAAAAGAACACCCAATTAGTAAATCCCCACAGTATATGCTCACCATCACTCGACCCTAATTGTAGGTGAACTCACACCACTTATTCTCCTACCATCTGCAGTAGCAATGGTCGGCTGCATAATTTTGTAGGGAAGGTTCCATTTCTCCAAAAACCAGTGCACCTGCCGAAAATTTAATGTTATCCAAAGAAAGGAGCCTACCCCTAACCATTTGGATAATAGAGTTAGTAACAACCTCTTCAGGTTTGTGGACCTTACTAAAGATTCTACTATTTCTCTCCATCCAAATGTGGTAGACAGTGCAGAGAAAAGACAACCTCAGAATCAGCATTTTCAAGGAATTACCACTGGTAGATTTAGTAGCAAACTCAACAGTGCCCAGCCAAGACAGAGAAGGCCAGTTAGCATTACACTTGGCCATCATGCCACCCCAAACCCTAGAAGAAAAAATACACCTGAAAAAGAGATGGGAGTGATTCTCCTCAGGAGCTTGACAGAAAGGGCAGCAAGGATTAGAGACAAGACCAAAAGATTGAAGCCTATCACCAGTATTAAGCCTCTCGTTAATGGCCAACCAAACAATAATAGGGATTAAAGGGTTGCCCCAGATAAGTTTAGACCACGGGACTTTAGGCCCTTTTTCCCTCCACCAATCCCAAACAGACTGGATAGAAAAAGTACCATCAGCAGTCAAGCTCCAAACCGGAGTGTTTGAAGAGCCCGGAGAAGGTAAAAGAGATGAAGGAGTGGAGGCGATCCATTCCTTAATCTCCCAAGAATTAGAGACAGGACACTTCCAAGAACAATTAGAGACAATAGAGCTAACCTTAGAACTATCAGGAAGGTTAGTATCATAAAGGATCCTAGGCCCAAACCTCTACCAAAGAGAACCTAGAGGGTGCCAGTTGTCATGCCAAAGAAACACATTGTCACCATTACCGATCTTAAATTTGATGAGAGGATAAATTAAGTTCCTGAGAGACAAAATTTTCCTCCAAACCCAAGACTTATCACTAGGAGTCTTAATGGACCAGAAACTCCTACCTTTGAGCAAGTAAGACTTAACCCATTGGCACCACATAGAGCAATCCCCGCCTGAAAACAAATACCAAACATGTTTGGCTATAGCAGCCTTGTTCCAGATTTCCAGATCCTTAAAGCCTAGGCCACCTTCACTTTTATTTCTACAGATGTACTTCCAAGCAATCTTAGCACTATGCTTTTTCATCTCAACCCCAGACCAAAAGAAGGATCTAAGAATACTCTCAATGTCGCTAACTATCTTCTTAGGAAGGATAAAAAGAGAGGACCAATACACCTGCATTGAAAACAGGATAGACTTTATGAGTTGGGCTCTACCAGCATAAGAGAGCAATTTATTGGTCCAGCTTTTGATCCTCATGGTAATTCTCTCCACCAGAATATGGCAATCAGACACTTTAAGCTTAGTAGTGATTAAAGGCACACCAAGGTATCTAACTGGGAGGGACCCCTCAGTAAATTTTGCAATCTGAAGGATTTCCTCTCTAAGCTGTATACTACAACCCGAGAAGAAAATGTTACTCTTACTAGGATTAGGAGTGAGGCCCGACAGATTTCTAAATTCCTCCAAACCCTGCATGATAAGATTAACAGTACCAGGGTCCCCTTTGCTAAAAATCATCAGATCATCAGCAAAACATAAATTGACAATTTTGGTTTTCTCACATCTCCAGTGGAATTTGAACAGGGGATTCCTAGACTTCTCAGCCAAAATCCTAGCAAGGACCTCCATAGCCACCGCAAAAAGATACGGGGACATTGGGTCCCCTTGTCTTAACCCCCGAGCCCCTTTAAAATACCCTTGAAGGCTCCCATTAATACAGACCGAAAAAGAAGGGCTCGTGATACAAGCCTTTATCCAAGTAATCATGCAAGGAGGGAAAGCCATAGCTGTAAGAGTATCAATAATAAATTCCCACCTCACAGTATCATAAGCCTTCATAATGTCCACTTTCATGGCACACTTAGGAGTAAGGGACTTCCTATGGTAACCTCTCATAAGCTCTTGGGACAGGAAAATATTGTCCGAGATCCTTCTACCTTGGACAAAAGCAGATTGCACAGGATCAATCAGATCAGGGAGGGCCAATTTAAGTCTATTAGCTATGATCTTAGCAATGCATTTGTAGATGGTGTTACAACAAGAAATGGGTCTATAGTCACCAACATGCATAGGATTGGGAACTTTAGGAATGAGAGCAATGATGGTACTATTGACCTCAGAAAGAAGTTTACCAGTATCAAAAAATGACTTGATGGCTAATGTGACATCCTTACCAACAATATCCCAAGATTTTTTGAAAAACCCAGCGGAATACCCATCAGGACCGGGGGCTTTGTTGGCTTTTAAGGACCAAAAAACCTCCTTGATTTCAGTCTCAGAAACAGGTTTAGACATCAAGTCATATTGAGAAGGAGAGACTTTTTTATGCACCAAAGATTGAATTCTCTCAAAGCCATTATACTGGTCCACAAAGGGAGTGCCAAATAACTTGGTATAGAAATTGACAAAGGAGGTGTGGATATCAGAACTGTTAGTAGACCTAGTACCATCACCCATGTCAACACTCAAATTTTCCCTCTGTTGATATTGCTCTTCACAGACCTAAAAAAGAATTTGCTATTTCTGTCCCCAAGCCCAAGCCATTGCACCCTGGATTTTTGAAGGGCAAGACTTTCTTCTAACTTACTAAGCTCAATGTATTTTTTCAGCTCCTCTCTCTCCTGAACTTGCAACCCATTGTTCACAGGATCTTTATCCAGCTTATACTGGATCAGATCCAAATTAGCCTTAGCATTCTGAACACGAGTAGATATATCACTAAAATCCTTTTTGTTCAAAAGCTTAAGGCTAATTTTAAGCTGCCTAAGTTTTTGACAGACTCTAAACATAGGAACGCCCCGGATATACTGCCCCCAAGTGTTAGAAACCGTACTCAGAAAATCTGGGTGTTGAGACCAGAAATGAAAGTATTTGAAGGGTTTCTTGAAGGAGCTCTTAGCAGCACTGATATTGACCACAGCAGGGGAATGGTCAGATATGCCAGACGGAAGAAAGTTGGCAGTAGCCTCAGGAAATTTGTCCATCCAAGCCTCATTAACCAGGACTCTATCAATTTTAGTAGCAATATAAGCCCCTTCACTCCTTTTGTTAGCCCATGTGAATTGGCAACCACCATAAGATAAGTCAGCCAACTCAGAGGCATTCACATAAGAATTAAATTCCTCATTTTCATTTGTCCAGTTAGAAGTCCCCCCAATTTTTTCCTGCTGGTATCTAATAGCATTAAAATCACCCAGAAAAACACAAGGAGCTTTGGATTTAACACGGGAGATATCATACATAGATTCAAAAAAAAACCTTTCTCAGAGTGTGCTTATTTTCAGCATAGACAAAAGTTGCATAAAATATTTCATTGGAAGCCAATTCAACAACTTTACACAAAATATGCTCATCAGACATAGAAAGCATTTGAACATCACAAAAAACATTGTTCCAGCACACCCAGACTCTACCAGTTTTAGTTGGTTGTGAATTAGAGAGCATGGACCATTGACCAAAACATTTAACACAAATACTGCTCTCATTTAACTGTTTTATTTTAGTTTCCAAAACCCCCATTACATGAATATTTTCTTTAAGCACAAAGTTTTTAACTTCTTTTTGTTTAGAAGGATCATTCAATCCTCTAACATTCCAGGAAGCAATTTTGACATGCATAGGGACACAAAAAGAGAGAGTGACATAACCCACAACCAACTAAAACTCAATTACTTCTTCTTCTTCCTCTGGCTGCTACTACCTTTGCCAGAGGATTTACTCACCTGCTGGGATGGGGTAGCAGAACTAGCATGCACCTTTCCAGCCTTAGTTTCCTTTATTATTGTGTCCACCACTTCAGCGGGGATTGGAGCCACTATTTTTGCAATCTCAAAGATCCTCTTTTGAAACATATCCACATCGCTGCTTTCAGAACTATGCTCTTCACCGGATAAACTCTTATCACCCGAAGTCTCCTGAGTATCAAGGGATTGATCAGATGAGTCCACCCTTATAGTTGCAGGTTCAGTAGTTTGAGTTTCTTGATTTTCCACCACTGCAGACGAAGGTACAGAAACTGGGTCTGGGTCTGCCTCCACTTCTGGAATAGTTTCCAACTCAGGTTCACCCACCTTCCTCTTCCCCTTAGCTTGAACAGTGGTCCAGCCTTCTTCCTGGTATTTCTGACCACTCCCCTGCAGTGGTCAATATCAGTGCCTCCAAGTGCTCTTTCAAAAAACCTTTCAAATACTTTGATTTCTGGTCTCAACATCCAGATTTTCTGGGTACTGTTTCTAACACCTGGGGGCAGTACATTCATCAGGATCCCAATATTCCAAAGGAATATTAAAAAATTTCACCCAGACAGGGATTTTGGTTGATTTATCTTTTGTTAGTTTCATCATCCTTTTCCATTGTTTCAGAATAAGGAGATAGCCACCTATATACCACGGGCCTCCTTCAAGAACTTCTCTGCAACAGTCAGGGGTGTCAAAAATGAAGAACATAAATCCATCCCCATTAGTTAAAACATCCTTGAGGCCCTTAGCTTTCCACAGTCCAAAAGCACTATTACGCAGATAGTTGTAACCCACCCCCTTGTCAACAAAATAACCCACAAGGCAGGAGTCCCATTTCTCAAGCGGATCAGTACGCGAAGGCATATTCACAACAACACTATCCTCAACAGTAGTAGGAGGGATATACCTGAGCTTGACATTTGAGCGGGTTGATGCAGCTGTGATATTTGCCCAAGAGCGTTGTTCTACATGCTCGTTGGTCCTGTTCCCAGCGGCACCACCACGACCTCCTCTCCCCCCACGATAACTTCCGCCCCCCCGAACGGCTCCTCCTTGGGAAGAAGAGGAGTCCCTAATCGGAATTTGTACATCAGCAGCAAAAGCCATATCTGGATCTGCTGATTCAACAAAGTTCTTATTTTCCCCACGATTACGCGCTACAATCACACTATCTGGAAGATTTAGGAAGCTATTATACTCTTCCTCCACGATATCAGACCAATTTGTGCTGATAGCATTTCCAATCAGCGTCGAAGGCTCACAGCTCAGTGCAGGAGGCATCGACTCTTTCAGTTTCTCCGCGGGCTCAGGAACACGTATATCCTCTGCTACCACCAAACCATGCCGATTTGCCGCAGAAACAGCAACCTGCGTTTGGATCTCCACATCGGACGGATTATCCAACGGATTCCCCATACCTGCACCATCACTAGGGTTTGATGGAACTTCCATCGCTATTTCGCTCAAAATCGCAAATCTATTTTCGGATAGCCCTAGATTTGGATCGACGACTCTAGGAATATTACCACCCACGCCCTCACCAGTAACACCCTTATTAATCTCACCCAGGTTAGCATAGCCACTAATTGTTTCATTAGCTTAAGTGGCCAAGTTTAACATAGGCTAAGCTTTTTTTGTTTTCAAGAAAGATAATTTTCTGAGTAATTGCAACTTAACGATATTAGTTTAACTTAAGGACCTCATTTAAGGTATTCTAAATCATCTAAGTGTTCAATTCTCAAGTCCAAAACGATGAAGTATTCCCTTTGATTTTCTTTCGATTTCTTCATCTTTTCTCTAACTTTCTCTTCTAGCTCTCAAGAATAATGTTTCTCTGTAACTTTCTCCGCCCTTCTCTATTTTGTTCTAGGAACTAACTAGATTAGACCATTAATTGTTTCATTAGCTTAAGTGGCCGACTTTAACCCAAACTAAGTTTGCTCAGTCTCCGAGAAAGAGAATTTTTTGATTAATGGTAACTTAACGATATTAGTTGAACCTAATCACCTCATTTAAGGTTTTCTAAATCATCTAAGGGTTCAATTCTCAAGCAGAAAATGATGAATTTAAATCACCTAATCTCTTCTTCTTCTTTTTTCCTCAAATGTTCTCTTATGGCACTCAAGAATAATGTTTCCCAGCAACTTTGTTCGTCCTTCTACATCCTTCTCTACTTTCATCAACGAACTAATTATATTAGGCCACTAATTGTTTCATTAGCTTAAGTGGCCAAGTTTAACTCAAACCAACCTTGCTTAACCACCAAGAAAGAGAATTTTCTGAGTAATTGTTGCTTAACGATATTAGGCTAACTGAAGCACCTCGCTTAAGGTTTTCTTAGTCACTTAAGTGTTCAATTCTCGAGACCAAAAGGATGAATATGAATTACTGGGAAACATTACCTTGGAACCACTTTGTTTGACCTCCACCTCCACCCTGACATATTGGCCGAGATGTCATTATCTAGGCCGAGGTGTTCATCACCAAGGCCGAGATGTGAATCATCTAGGCCGAGATGTTACCTTTGCACCTAAGTTATCTTGTCCCGAAGAGGTATGACCTAGACCGAGGTGTGGCACATCTAGGCCAAGGTGTGGCACAGCTTAGTCAAGTGTTGTCCTTCCTAGCCGAGGTTATTATTTCCTTACTTGTCGATGCCTTGCTTTTAGCCGAAATCATTGCCTACCGAAGTGCCTATGCTGTCTTGCTTGTTAAACACACTTGTCATGGTCATGTCTTGTCACTCAGCCACCTTTCTGTGTAGCACCAACCAACTGCTGCCACGTGCCCCTGTAGAGGGTTAAGTCAGCCAGCAGACCTAAAAATGTATCATTTTGCAATATGTCTTTGTTTGTAAGCTAATGAAACAATTAGTGGCCTAATATAATTAGTTCGTTCATGAAAATAGAGAAGGATGTAGAAGGACAAAGAAAGTTGCAGGGAAACATTATTCTTGAGTGCTAGGAGAGAACGTTTGAGGAAAAAAAAGAAGAAAAAAGAAGAAGAAGAGAATTGAACCCTTAGACGATTTAGAAAACCTTAAATGAGGTGATTAGGTTCGACAAATATCGTTAAGTTGCCATCAATCAAAAAATTCTCTTTCTCGGAGACTGGGGAAACTTAGTTTGGGTTAAAGTCGGCCACTTAAGCTAATGAAACAATTAGTGGCCTAATCTAGTTAGTTCCTAGAACAAAATAGAGAAGCACGGAGAAAGTTACAGGGAAACATTATTCTTGAGAGCTAGAAGAGAAGTTATAGAGAAAAGATGAAGAAATCGAAAGAAAATCAAAGGGAATACAAATTCATCGTTTTGGACTTGAGAATTGAACACTTAGATGATTTGGAATACCTTAAATGAGGTCCTTAAGTTAAACTAATATCATTAAGTCACAATTACTCAGAAAATTATCTTTCTTGAAGACAAAAAAAGCTTAGCCTATGTTAAACTTGGCCACTTAAGCTAATGAAACAATTAGTGGCCTAAGCCAATTAGCTCCTACAACAAAATGGAGAAGGGAGGTAGGTGAAGCACGAAGAAACTTAGGGATAAACATTGGGCTTGTTTGGATTGCTTTTGGAAGAGAAAGTTAGAGAACGGAAGGGGAAATTGGAAGAATGTACAAGGGAATTCAAATTCAACCATTTGGACTTTAGAATTGAACACTTACATCGTTTAGAAAGGCATAAATGTGGTGCTTACATCATGCTAATACCGCTATTCCATATTTACATAGAAAATTTGCTTTTTTGGAGGATAAGCAAGGTCAGCTTGAGTTAAGCTTGGCTACTTAATTGGGCATTTATGTCATTTAGAAAAGATTAAATTAGGTGATTATATACCTTTAACGTAAATTTACATAGAAAGTTTGCTTTCTTGAAAGTTAAGCAAGGTCAGTTTGAGTCAAACTCGGCCACTTAAGCTAATGAAATAGGGAAGGATGGAGAAGGACGGAGAAAGTTGGATAGAAACATTCTTCTTCAGAGGTAGGAGAGAAAGTTAGAGAAAAGAAGGAGAAATAAGAAAAAAATCAAAGGGAACTCATATTCATCCTGCTTGACTCGACAATTGAACACTGAAGTGACTAAGAAAACCTTAAACGTGGCGCATAAGTTAAACTAATATCGTTACGCAACAATTACTCATAAAATTCTCTTTCTTGGTGGCTAATAAGCAAGGTTAATTTTAGTTAAACTTGGCCACTTAAGCTAATGACACAATTAGTGGCCTAAGCAAATTAGTTCGTTAAAGAAAATAGAGAAGGATGTAGAGGGACGGAGAAAGTTACGGGGAAACCTTATTCTTGAGTGTTAGAAGAGAAAGTTTGAGGGAAAAAAAGAAGAAGAAGAAATAGGATGAAAATCAAAGGGAATTCAATTTCATCATTTTGGACTGGAGAATTCAACACTTAGATGATTTAGAAAACCTTAAATGAGGTGATTAAGTTCAAATAATATCGTTAAGCTACAATTTATCAGAAAATTCTTTTTCTTGGAGGTTAAGTAC